CCACAAACAACAGCAGACACACACTTATTACTGACTGATTTGACTTCCATACTATTCTCATTGAGATCTAACAGAAATTAAGGTGTTTTTTGTGTCACCGTAATGGAGTTAGGGGCTGGTTTAGTTGGGCTCTTCACCCTTGAACTTATTAATTTAGACTCTCCAATTACTATAATAAAGAGGTAACAAAATGCTTGTATTATAGCAATAAAGTTGGGAAGTCAATAAATAGAGAAATCTATTTGTCTGAAATTAGTTTTGATGAATGTTTTGTTATAAATCTGGAAGAAGGGCCTCATGCAATAGATTTTATGCTTAGTTGCAGGTATTACTTTAATTAATGAGAAGTGGAAACAGAAAAGATACCTCCGTAATTACTTAACAGTTAAGAAATAACATACAAAAACAGTTCAGTTATGACAACTACAAACTCAGACCTCATAAATCTGACCTTGTATCTCAACAATGGTAACATCTCAAATGTTTCATGCTGCAATGCATGCTGGGAGTGGCACGGTACAAATATCCCAGCATGCATTGCGGTATAAATAAATGTTGTATTTTGGTCTTACAGTTTTCTTTATTTGCGTTTGATTCTGCTTTTGTTTATGTTTAGACTTTCAGTTGCCTGTTTGTGAGTTAAACTGTTATTTTGTTAGTTGTCACCATTATTGAGGTTCATACGCTGATTATTGATGTCTCTTTGAGTGTGATATACACCGTAGAGTAGTGTTATTGTCCAAGATATTCTTAAAAACTTCCAGAAACCATTGCCATATATAGACATATAATGTAAAACAATAGATTTAACATTGAATAGGAGCAGTAAATTTTATTATACTAAATGAGAACAGACTCTACCATTTAATAGCAACATGAACATCACCAGATTTTATTTAGGTTTTTGGCTGGCTTGCCACAATAAATGAGCTTTTTAAACAAAGTTCTTAACAATTGCAGCAGCCAAGATATATAAATGTTAAAAATGACAGGGCTAAGAGCCCAACTAAAGCAAACTCTGTTCTCCATGATGGAAGAAGAAGAATTTTAGTAGATGTTATACAAAAATACATGTATTAAGTAATAAGTGTAGCTGGTGATGATGTTTGTAGAGTTGTTTAATCATCCGCTGATCATTTAAATGATTTAATCATTTGTTGTTCTTCAGGTTATTTCATTATAAAGCTGTGACTAAAGTTTTGTATGTTCTGTTCTTGTTTTTCCCTTCAGTATTTCTTCATTTGTTCATTGTTAATCCTCAATTATCATTTAATTAGTCAGTTAATTAATGAATTTACTTCAGCTTTGCTCCATGTTTCTTGAACACTCAGTAGTGTGGACACTTCAATAAAAACTGAAGTATATGCTCTGGGGTTTAAAGGGTTAAAGGTGTGAGAGGTAAAAACACAGTGTAAAAATTTATTTTAACAGTAATATACTGTTAATTTACACTATGGAAATAGACTGTAAAATAACAGTATATTGCTGGCAACCACAGCTGCCAGTAGATTACTGTTAAATCAAGGAAAAACTGTATTTTACTGTAAAACCTGAAGCTAATTTCTTCTGTGTGTTACCGTTGTGGAGGAGAGTAGAGCTATTGTATGAGTTAAAGATGAACAATGAACTGCTGATGTTATTCTGTATGTTTCTTTATTTAAAAACATCAGCTGTTTAGTTGCTGATGCAGTCAGAATCTCTCTGGTAGTTCCAGATTTACATGTATGTGTGCTGTTGTGAAAAATAAGACATTAGAGTTAAACCAAACTTTTCTAATTAACTAAAATAAGTTATATCATTATAAGTATGCTTCTAAGCATGTATAGCACATTACTTCATAAACTCATTCAGCAGTTGACCAAGTTGAGGCAGTTGCTTTCAGTGAGCAAAATGAGTTCAGTTGAGTATTGTGTAAATCAATGTAGTCCATGTATTTTTACAGCAACATACTGTAAAATAACAGTACATTGCTGGCAACTGCAGCTGCCAGTATTTTATTGTTTTTTAACGGGACAATTTTTACAGTGTAAGACTAGTCTATAAATCACATTTACGAGCAAACTGTGCTGTTGATTTTGATATTTTGATTGATTGATTGATTGATTGATTGATTGATTGATTGATTGATTGATTGATTGATTGATTGATTGATTTATGCTTTAGCGTATTGGTCGGTTGTTTCTTTTTTTACTTATGTGTTTGTGTGTCTCTCTCTCTTTCTCTCTCATCCTGTCCTGTTCCTGCTTTCAGGTTGCCCAGCCCTAATTAGACATGCTGCACGCATGCGCTGTGGTTAGTGCTTGGAGAATGAAGCATCTTTTGAACAGCAGGCCGATGGAGTCAGATCGTAGGGGGAGAGACGGAGAGCTTTCCAAAGAATGTGTCGTTCTTGTTCAAAACCTGTTGAAGTGTTTTCTTGTTTTTCTTAAATTGTGAACTTTAAGGTGCTCTCCACCTTTCTTCTCCCCCCTCCTTGTTGTGACTGTCACACACATATTTTTTTTATGATAAAGCTGTTAGCTGAACGCCTTAGGTGCTGAATGCCATTTACTTTGACACTGACATTTTCTCCTGTTTTTTGATTTAGTATAAGAGTAAGTGTAGTATTTGTAATTGATTTTCTGCATTTCTTTTGGTTCGTTAGGTAAGTTATCTTTGGGGTGTAGTTAGCTAATGTTTTGTTTATTATTTTGGCCTTGCTCAGTCCTGAAGCATTTTACAAACTTTTTCCCCCTTCTCACAACAAAAGAATCTTTAAAGTCATTTAAATCATAACCTGCTAACTGATTATTTATTTATTTTCTTTAACTTATTTTCAAGATCAGCCCTGGACATTTGGGGTTGTAACAATTGATTGATTGATTAATTGATTGGATGATTGATTGATTGATTGATTGATTGATTGATTGATTGATTGATTGATTGATTGATTGATTGATTGATTGATTGATTGATTGATTGATTGATTGATTGATTGATTGATTGATTGATTGATTGATTGATTGATTGATTGATTGGATGTTCAACTGTTGTTATTTTCTTAAATATTCACAACTTTAAATTTACCTGAGTCATGTCTTTACATGAAAATTTGGTTCATGTTTTGACTGAGAAGGCTACTGTACCATTCATTCAATGTTTATTTTATAAAAATATTATTTATTGTGGTTGTAAGTCACAACAATTCTCAACATCCATCTCTTATCAAGTGTGTAGTGAACTTTAAATGCCCTAATTGGGTGCTTTATTTGCAGATTTTTTGGTCCGTAAAAGTACTGTAGATTCTTGAAAACAGGGCTTGGATTGAGATTCTCTTATTTAGTAGATAGTGCTTCTTAGAAGTTCAGCCCTCTAGTGTTTTCCTCTGTTCACGTTATTAGCACTGAATTTCATGTGATTACTTAGGAAATTGGCAGGTTATAAAATATCGTATGAACAGTTTTTACATAAACTTACTTGTGATGTGTGCATGGATGATCTTTCAGTAATCAGAATGATCATTTGACTATCAGAATTCAAGCTAATTAACGCCTGGAAATTTAGCACATTTTACGTTGTTTGCAATTTTTTATTTTTTTATCTTATTCGTCTTATACATTGTTCTCTATTCTGTATTATGTGCATGCACATGTATAATATTATACTGTATTGTTTAAAGTTTACTTTAAACACATTTAGATAGTAATAGGAGTGTGCATTCTAATTATTAAGTGTCATTTAATTTCCATTTTATTATCCACAAATAGGCATCATTACATTACGCAGTACAATGTGCACTCTTACAGGTTAGTGACCTTGTTTTTAACAAGGCGACCCAGCATCTAAGGAACTGACACTGGCCAGTAAGCAGTCACCCAGAACAGTCTAACAACTCATTATATATACATCAATCATCCAGAACACCTTGGCCAATATAAGGACTCTCTAAAAATACAGAAAAAAATCATGGCAACTACAAGCAGCGTTGGTAACGACTTTTACACAGGCATACATTTTCTTCAAACTGTGCTAATAAACTTGATTACTCTTTGAAGGTTACTTGTTGAACGGACCAGGAAGAAAAGAAAACCTAGATGCTGAATGTAAGGAGACCCTGATGTCAAAGCACTTAATAAGGTTCTCCTGTTTCTATCTGTAGACCCAGTTCATCCAGTTACAGGTAACTTGAGAGCTGGTTTAAGAACAGGTTGAACGTGACAAAAAACAAAAACTTGATTACAGAAGAGTAAAGATTCTTCCAAACACCAGCTGTTCACCAAAACCCTGCAGATAACCGTGTTGTTGTTTATCCAGTGTGGTAAGCATGGGTCGTCACTGGTTCAACTGTCCCAGCATGCTCACTGTTCAGGCACCATCATCTGTCTACAGGAGATTACAGCTAAGCCCTGATATTCATTAATCTGTGGATCAAGGGTTACAATCTCCCAATGTACATATTTGACTAAAGCAATGATTCACGTAATGTCTGAGATTTTACCTCTGCAAAGCATGTTCTATGTTTTCAACAACACCCCTTTTCGTATGGTTAATCACTGTGTTTAATAACTTGTTAAATTTATGGATTCTTAATAACAATAATTAGAATAATTCTGTAAAATTTTGGAATATATTAATCCAACTTTAGTTTGTCTTATGCAATAAAAACAAGTGAATGGAGTTATAATGCAATATTGTATAATCATAAAAAGTTGATATGTAGTCATAGGTGAGCATTTAATAGCCGCTATGAACATTGATAATTAATTCAGAATGTATAGCTTGCTCTTCGTCCTTAATAGCCTACAACATTCATAATTAAGCTTGATCAAAGTCATATTTAATTTTACAATTAAACATCTTGCTATATATCTTGGGTACACAATTAAATGAAAAGAAATGACATATTTGGACTCCTCCAGTTTAAACAAACTTAATGTTTACAGTTATGACATGGCTTTAAAATATTTTATTGTTCTCCCTCTTTTGACGCATGCTGTTCCTCAAGTGTAAGTGGACGCGCACGCGCGCACAACCGCTGGTGTTTAATATCCGAAAAGCACAGGAATAAACAACAGCGGGGTTCTGGAGGACATCAGTGTTAGATAATCGGCTTTATTCCCGAAAGCATTTTTTTACTCAACCTTTTTTCCCCTGCCGACTGTGTTAGATATTCAGGTGATCTTTATGAGATAGATTATTCCTGTCCATCAGAGCAGTGTCCTGTGAGAGACGCGCAAGAGGAGCTCATGGCAGCGTTTCACTGCAGCAAACGAACTTCCAGGATGGGACGAGGAACATCTATCGACTTATTAAACTTAGGTGATACTCATTCCTAATTTAAATATTTGAATAATATGACAAATGAGGGAAAAAACGTGTTCTATTAGGATAAAAATGCAGGTAAGTCGAAAGACTTTTTGTTTGTTCTGTTTTATGAAATGGTATGCATTGAACGATTTTTCAATTATTCTGCACAGTCATAAAGCACAACAAAAAATACAGTTATAAATCATAAATGTGCTCAATTTGGTCATAGTTGAATTTTACATTTTCTCTTTACACATTTTATTTCTGATTATGCCAACTTTTATATGCATTGTAAGGGATAAGGGTGTAGAAATTAAATATATAATATATCCATATATATTATGTCATAATTTATTGTTTTCAGATCAGTAAACATTGGTTAATATTTAAAGCACAAGTAATTTTAATAAACCAGTAAATACCTAAAAGTAAAAGATACAAACAGGTTATAAAAGCATCTTACAGTGAATCCACGAATTAAGTGATACAGTCTTAAAATAAATGTTACAAAACTGAATCAAAGTCATACCATAGAAAAAAAAAAACTAAAACAATTTAGTTTCCATATAGAACCTTTCAGTGAACATTTCCTAGAATAACATTTTGCTAGTGTGAGGTATACATTTAATAATCTAAAGAACCTTTCTGTTATGCAAAGTTCTTTTTTGGATTTTAATTAGAAAGTTTAATTTTGCATAATTAAAGTGTAGAGTAAACTGAAATCTTAATTTGTGTTTATGTGCATGAACCAACATGTGGCTTTGGACAGTGAATAAATGATGACAAAATCGTTTTCTTCATTTTTTACAAATATTTCTTTATACATTTATTTGTTTGTTTGGATGAAACTAACCATTCAACTTAGAATAAAGTATGTAGTTCCAGAGTAAAATGATGTTTGAGGGAGTGAAGTTACAAATTTTAGTTAAAAAATTAAAAGTACTTTTCGAATAGAGGTTTATAGGATAATTTATGTTGCCCCATTTCCGAATGTAACTTTTTTAATAAAGAGGAGGTGGACTTACATAACTGGAAACAGCTGAATGGAAAGCAATTTGTTTTGGGTCAGCCCACTTCATCTGCTGTTATTTAAAAAGATTCATAGCCGTGTATGGTGCCCTGTAGGCACAGATCTAAATGCCCATATGGTTTATTAATTCTTAAGATCTTGTAGAAACTCAATAGCGCCTCCCTAAGGAAACATGGCAGTAGAACAGTTTTCTACAGTACTATGATATTATAGACTGATATAACCATTGTATTATGACTACTGTAATATATTGGGCTGTTCTTCCTAAACCTAAACAAACTGGTAAATGACTGCATGACTGATGTCGGTTATGGTCTGTTTCCTATATCATAACTCAAAGGGAAAGATTCTGTCATCATTTGATCACCCTTCTCTTGTCACTTGAGATTCTTTCTTCTGTTGAACACAGTAGAAGAGATTCTGAAAAAGAACTGGAAATCGGTAACCATAGACTTCTATAGCTGTTTTCAGCTTTGGTCAAAATGTCTTTTGCAGAAAAAAGAAACAAATAAATGTTTGGAACCACTTAAGAGTGAGCAAATAGGGGGTACATTTTTATTTTGGGTGAACAATGCTTTCAAGCAGATCTTGAAGATCAGCATTGACCTCAGAGTGATCTGGAGTACAGTAAGAAGAGTCATGAGGTCATCTGCAGGACAATCGGCAAATTGCACCTGCAGCTTCTATTCAAGAGCACAGGGTAACAATTTATTATAGCAATTTTCTTAAAGACTTCCATGATCATTCTTGACTTCAGAGAAAACTTCTGTCAGTACTTCACTTTTGTGCATGTGCTCGCTCTCTCAGTAACCATTGCCAATACAACTGCGCTATATTGGAAACAACAGACATCACATTATTTTTGTAATATAACAACAAAAATAAATTAGCAGATTTAAAAAAAATATATATATATATATATATATAATTTTTTTTTAAATATATATATATATATATATATATATATATATATATATATATATATATATATATATATTTATTTATATATATTAATTAATACAATATAATAAACAAATTACAGGCACTGTCAAATATTGCATTGAGGTTCTGATAATTAAATGTAAAAGCCTTTTGCATAATCTTCACTTTACAAATAAATAACAGTAAATTTTTTGTAAAAAGCTATAAGCATCACAATCCTATTGCTTTAAACTCACTTAAGTTAAAAATAACAGGCCATAGAAGCAAATGGAAATGATAAACTTTCAATCTATTAAACTTAAAGATTAAGCAGCTAATTTACAACTAATCTACAACCTGCAAGTCAATGCTTAAACTGTATATTGTACAGTCATAATAGTAGGCAGCCCAATCAAGGATGTGTGGTAGTTTTAATAATGGATCAATGAGTAGTGAAATAATCATAATGACTCCACGTTAAGGATTTTTGGACCAAAAAAATTATTCCAACAAACTTTAAATTGGACCCCCGGTCCGATTGTATGGAAGGGTGGGGTGGCTCTGGGGGGAAGTGGTGTCAAATAAGGCCATAAATCTAGGGTGACTGTTTCTATTCAACAGATTATAATAAAATTTATTTTAAATTTAAAATTAAAAAATAAAATTTTTTCACTGTTACGCTAGCCATGTGGCACCTTTTGACAGGTAAAAGCAACTGCTCTCTGCTCTCTACTGCTATTGCCTGAGGGATTGAGATGCACTTGTCAATGTTTGTGTACATGACTGACATATGGTGTGCAACAAGGCATGGCTTAAAACGCAGGTAAACATTATCTAAAAACATACAGTACCCTTAATGACAACTGTAGAAAGTGAAACTGAATCCTGGAGATTTAGAAATCCTTCGTTTTCTAAGTCCCAAAAAAGGACAAATAGTCACCCTATGAAATCTGGCTTTGAGTTTTGAAAACTGTTCATAATGCTTATTAGTTTCAGTTTAATCACATCCCTTTTTTTTACAGTGTTCCACCAACTCCGGTGCTCTACTTCCTGTTTAAGCTACGAAAGCTGCATACCCACATATACCACAGTAATTCAAACCCAACAGCCCAAATGCCACCATGCCCATCATCAGCAATGCTAACCATGACTTTAGCAATCTCTCGGTCAGCACAGATGACAGCAGTCTTGACTTGTTCTTCACTGAAATCCCAGAGACTGAAACCATCAAAGGCGTGTACTTTCAGCGGGCCCAGCGACTATGTGGCATCTCTACTCTGAAAGACGTGGACCACAGTAAACTAGCCCTCATTAATGTTGGAGGGGATCGCTACACATTCCCATGGAGCACACTGGATGAATTCCCCCTCTCTCGGCTGGGACAGCTGCGTCACTGCAGCAGCCCGGATGATATCGCCCAGCTCTGTGATGACTATGACGAGGCTCGACGGGAATTCTTCTTTGACCGCAGCTCAGTGGCCTTTAGGGTCATCCTAAATTTTCTTGCCGCAGGGAAACTGAGGCTGCTGCGGCAGGTTTGTGCTGTGTCGCTGTCTGATGAACTCACCTACTGGGGTATCGACCCTGTTCATATGGAGCGCTGCTGCCGGCGCAAGTTGTTGTCTCGTGTGGAGGATGTGGCAGAAAAGAAGAAAAAGGAGGATGAGAGGAAGCAGAAGAGGCATGCCCTACAAAGGCCTCTTGCACAGGACAAGGGCTTCATCAGGCTCATGAATCGGCTGCAGGAGATAGTGGAAAACCCTCATTCCGGCTGGGCCGGGAAGCTCTTTGCGTGTTTCTCTGTGGTCATGATTGCAGTGACAGTTATCAGCTTGTGTATCAGCACCTTGCCTGATCACGAAAACAGGGCAAGTCTACAAAATCACTCTTCTGTCTAATCCAGGGATGGGCAAACTTGATCCTAAAGGGCCGGTGTCCCTGCATAGTTTTGCTCCAAGAATAATCAAACACACTTTTTATTGACTTTGAAGACACTGATGTGTGTTTAGGTGTGTTTTATTAGTTTTTGAGCAAAACTATGCAGGGACACCTGCCCTTGAGGATCAAGTTTGCCCATGCCTGGTCTAATCACTCATAATCACTTTTGTATCGGGTTTGTGTGTTGTATTTATTTTGTGGAGAAGGGTCTGGCTGCAGACCGGATGTTTAATAATGTGTACACCTAACCCCACCCTTAACACTACGCCTCAAAGTAATATAGCTCTGAGTACATGTGTCTGAGACTGCAAGTCTGAGCTAGAAGTACTATTGGGTATATCATGATACAAAGCTAATGTTAAAAACATTGAATTTAATGACATGACATAACTTTCTTGATTTCCTTAGATCACATATCATACCATTCTAGGGTTTCAGTCTTTTTTTCCCAAAAGTATATGCTAAACAGTTATAATACTTCATTAATTTATTTCTTTTCCTTTGGCTCAGTCCCTTTATTCATCAGGGGTTGCCACAGCAGAATGAATCGGCAACTTATAACACATGTTTTACACAGCAGATGGCCTTCCAGTACTGGGTAACACCCATGCACTCTCATATGCACACTCTCATACACTACGGCCAGTTTAATTTATTCAATTACCCTATAGCGCATGTATTTGGACTGTGGGGAAAACCCAAGCCAACACAGGGAAAACATGCAAACTCCACACAGAAATGCCAACTGACCCAGCCGGGACTCCAACCAGTGACATTCTTGCTGTAAGACGACAGTGCTAAGCACTGAGCCACCGTGTTGCCCCAGTCATAATATTGTCATATTATAAGAAAAAGAACCAGGGTTAAGGCTTTTTCGTATTGTTGACCAATTAAATTTTAGCTAACTGAACTAAATCAGTTTCTAAAAATTTATATGATTTAAGGGCATTTAAGATTTTTTTATTAAAATATAAAAAAAACCATACATGTTTATATATTTTGCTTACTTATGTACTTATATTAACCCAGAGAAATAATTAGTTTTGCTAATGATGCTAATGGTGTCAAATACCCATTATTTCCAATTTGGTTGAATAGAAAACAGGGAAATACCAAAGTATGTTGAGCATTTTATTAGACTGCGCACATCAGTATTAAAACAGAATCTTTAAATTTATTTTGTTTAGTAAAACAGTGCTGCAGGGTGCAAGGTGGCCCAGTGGGTAGCATGATCGCCTTAAAGCAAGAAGATCACTGGTTTGAGCCTCGGCTGGGAAGCTGAATGAATGAATGAATGAATGAATGAAACAGTGCTGCTTCTTCCGGACATAAACATTACTGGAAAAGCTCAACTGTGGCAAAATAAAAGCTCTACTGCATTCATGTCACACTGCTTCATACTACCATAATAATAAGTTTCGAATACTTAAGCTCACCCATAAACATGATTTCTGAATGAGCACACAGCTGGAAGCTCAGCACTCATCCTTTACCTCTGGGTGTTTTGATTGGGTGGAGCAGCTGTCTTTTCATTTCCAGCATGGATATCCATAATTCCTAACTTTTCTTAAAGGCATTCTATCCAAAGAAATTACAATTTTGACATAAATTACTCACCATTAAGTTGGTCCAAACTTGTATGAATGTATTAGTAACACTTTATTTTGATGGTCCATTTGTGTATTAGTAGATTGTCTGCTTAATATGTGTTGATACTGCTGCTAAACAGACATTTAACCAATAGTATCTGGATTCAGCCTTTATGATGCAAGCTGAGATTGCATCACTCAGCGATACATTGTCAGACACAATGCACTCAATTAAGTGAGTGATGTTATTGTGACGGGTATCGTTAGGGGTAGGATTAGGTGAGCGCAATAAAAAACATTGGATGGAGCTCAGATTGCACTACACCAAGTCTGTATCCAGACCCCTTTACCTGACTATAAGAAACTTTGCAAGTACGTCAACACACTAAACCTAACCCCAACCTAGCAGTCTGCTTATAATCTAATGAGAATTAGTTGGCATTTAGATGCAATGTAACTTAAATTCAACAAATGGACCATTAAATTAAAGTGTGATCACTATTTATTTCCCCCTGTAGATGTGGATAGCCTAACAGTAGCTGGTTTCACATTCTAAATTCTTCAAACAATCTTCGAGGTTCAACAGAATATTTTTAATAAAATGTTTACTTTCATTCCTTGATATTGATTGGTTGAGGCTCACTTTATGGGTAACAACTCCACCTCTTTCATATACAATAAGATCAGCAGTAAAATATCACTTTTTTTTAATTGCCTTTTCACCGTTCCTTTATTTGTTCTTTTACAGGGCGAATGCACAGAAAAGTGCCGCAACATATTCATTGTGGAAACGGTGTGTGTGGCCTGGTTCTCCATGGAGTTTTTGTTGCGCTTCCTGCAGGCTGAAAGCAAAATGCAGTTTCTTCGAAATCCACTTAATGTCATCGATGTCATAGCCATTCTACCATACTACATTTCTTTGGTTGTTGATAGCGAAGATACGTCTGATGAAGCTGAGCTTAATGGTGCCGGGACAAGTCGTGGATATTTAGATAAACTGGGTTTAATACTGCGGGTCATGCGGGCCCTGCGAATCCTCTATGTAATGCGGCTGGCAAGACACTCATTGGGCCTTCAGACGCTTGGTCTTACAATGCAGAGGAGTATGCGAGAGTTTGGACTCCTGCTACTTTTCCTCTGCGTTGCTGTGGCTTTGTTCTCTCCTCTTGTCCACTTGGCAGAGAAGGAATTCAGCAAGGGCAAAGCCACTGGTCCCAATAGCTTCAGCAGCATCCCTGCGTCCTATTGGTGGGCAATCATATCCATGACCACGGTCGGCTATGGTGACATGGTGCCATACAGTATACCTGGCCAGGTTGTGGCCTTTAGCAGCATATTGAGTGGTATTCTCATTATGGCCTTTCCAGCAACATCCATCTTCCATGTGTTTTCTCGTTCATATCACGAACTGAAGCGGGAACAAGAAATGATTTATAAAGAAGAGCGAGTGGCCATCCTGGATGCCACTGCTAAAGAGGATGCCCAGAGACTGTTGAAGAGAGACTCCTTTTCTTGGGCCATTGCTAACAGAAATAGCCTGCGTAAAGACAATGGCACAGCTGCCATTCAGCCAACCCTCACTGCTGCTGCATGTTGCAAAGATATCTGACATGTTACTTCCATTTTTTTTCTGTTGGATTTCTGTATGTTTTAATGAGTCTGCTGGAAAGAGTTTGTGTAATAAATATCTTAATCATTGAAATTAAGTTTTCAAAGATTTGACCTACCTGTTATTACATCCTCCATAGGCAGCAATAGTTCCAATATGTTCAAGAAGAGGAACCAAAGATATTGCCTAAGCATTTTATGTGACTTCAGTGGTTCAACTGTAATCACATGAAGTTCCATGAACAGTTTTGTGTGTCAAAACCTGTAAATATGACTGTGCTCACCTACAGTTAGATCCCTAAATATTTGGACGTTGACACAATTCTAACATTTTTGGCTCTATACACCAACACAATGGATTTAAAATTAAACGAACAAGACGTGCTTTAACTGCATATTGTCAGCTTTAATTTGAGTATTTACATCCAAATCAGGTGAACGCTGTAGGAATTGCAACACTTTGCATATGTGCCTCCCACTTGTTAAGGGTCCAAAAGTTGGACAGAATAATAATCTTCATAATAATAATAACTTTCACCTTTTAATACAGGGTGGGCCATTTATATGGATACACCTTAATAAAATGGGAGAGGTTGGTGATATTAGCATCCTGTTTGTGGCACATTAGTATATGTGAGGGGACGTGTAAACAACTTATACAAGAAAAAAGTTACGTTAAAACCAGGCCCTCCATTGTTTTTTCTTGTGAAACTCCCAATAAGTTTGTTAAGGTGAATTCATATTAATGCCCCACCCTGTACTGTACTTGGTTGCAAATCCTTTGCAGTCAATTACAGCCTAAAGTCTGGAATGCATAGTCATCACCAGAAGTGGCTCTTCCATGGCCTCTACAGCAACTGACAGTCAGCAGTTTAAGCAAACTGTTAGTTGCTAAAGCAAATTAAAGTATTTCCTACCTCCCATGTCATGCCATTTAAATCACTAGCACAACAAAACAATCATTGTATTGCATGTATAGTAAATGCCCACCCTGATCTTATGTAAAGCCACTAGCCAACAATGTAGTTTTTACATTTTTTTGACACACAACTGTTATTTGGGCATCTTATGATTACAGTTGAACCATTAAAGTCATATAGGTTGTTTATATAATACATATATAATGTATTTGGTTCCTTTTCTGTATGTATGTAAATTTTATGGTCTCTGGACCATTCTGAAAATGTTTGAAGGTCCTGGGGATCGAAATTACAAGAAGGTGAGTAATTGTTAAGATAATTTTTATTTTTTGTGAACTAACCCTTTAAGTATACTTACTTTTATACTGAATGATATTTAATGAACAAATCTTTGCTTTGTTTTTGTAGTAGTAAACCAGATTAATACACTTCTACAAAAATTTACTACATGCCTTTAAAATGTAATAAGATTACTGTATGTCCAAACATTTTACAAACTGTATCCTGCGTTTTCCAAGCCACATTAGTCTAATGTGTATGTTAATTATTATATTGTTTGACAACAAACTGGGCTAGATAATTTTTTGGTTGTTTTGATTTTTAAATAAATTTATTAAAATTATATTTAACCCCAATCTGTTCCCCACTGTTCCCCTATAATGTTTGTACATAATTATATTATATTATTTTAAAATAATAATAATATAATATTAATATATTATATTACTATACTTTAATGTTTGTTTATAAATGGGAACAACCACAGAAATGCTTTTGAAACAAAACACAGAACACTCTATCTATTTTTTAAATTCAATTTAATTCATCTTTATTTCTATAGTATAAGCAGCTTAACCAGGACGCTCTAGTAAATTTAAACTGTTTTCAAAGTTGAAGTTCAGTTCAGTTTGGTTTAATTATCACTGCTGAAAGCCTAAACACTGAAGTGCAAATCCATCAATGTGCAGCTCCACAAGTCCTAAACAGTCTAAACAAGTCACAGCGAGTATAATATTTTTGTTTTTAATTAAACAATTTACAAGTTTTCTTTATATTTTAAAATGAAATAAACTAAAATATTAGTTTAATATAAAAAAATCTAAAATATAAAATAAACTATGTTATTAAAACAAGTAAACTATTTTGAATCATTTAGAAGTGTAAAAACTAGTTTTTTTTTTAAATATATAATGATAATGTACAATTTCAAGCACCACAAAATGGCTTGTCCCCACAGCCATGTACATATGAAAAGTGCTTTATTTTGAGGTAAAACATGATTTTTTTTTACCATTCAAAATGCAATCATGCATTTCTAACACCAAAATATATAATATACACATGTAAATGACAAGATAAAATTAAAGTCCAAATATTTTTATTAAAATATTTAATGAAAATAGTTTTTCCCTGAATTTGTGTCATTGGTGATGCTGCTAATAAATATTTATTATTGTGAAATAAAAAAATCTGGTTACATAACTTGACTCTCTTTTTCCTAGTGCCTGAGCATCTACAGTACAAAGAAAAACCCATTGTAACTCAACTTCAGTTATCATAAATTTGTCATATTTATCAATCATGATTGTATATGAAGCTTTTTCTTTTTTTGTTGACTTAAAGAATTGTAAAAACTAAAAATAATAATACAAGAACACAAATGGATTAATCTACTTAATTTTGTGAATATACAATTCCATTCAGCATGAGTAGATCATTACTTTTCTGCTGGGTCACACCAGAGAAGATAATTTGTCAACATTTGCTCATCATTTATGTCTTTAGTGTTATTGTTGCACTCAGTACACTACAACATAGTTTAATTTTCCTGCTGTGTCAACACACATACGTTTCCAAAACAGCCTAAAGGGATTGTATATGTAAAAGAAGGTCTGTGGACTGACATTTTGCTGTATCATATATCCATTGAATTCTGTTGGTATCGAAATGTCTTTCGCTTTTGAAATGAATGCATATTTGATTATGTACAGCTACCGTAACTTGAACAATGACCTATGAAAGGTGATTGAGGCCTAAAGTCTTTAAACACTGTAATGATTCCAAAGACTGACTCTTAAAAGTGTAGTATTACATAACATTTCTCCCTTTATTTAAATATTAAACATAACTGTGAAAAAAAAATACATTAAGATTTTTATAACTGATTTGCATTTTTACAGAGATATCAGTGATGTGGTAATGTGTTGAACTCTTTGAACACTAATTGTAATTCCTTTGGTTTTTATGATTTTGTAGGGCTTTGGATTGAAAGCTGTCATGAGTTTTCCTTTTTTCCATTTTACTAAGTACTGTAGCACCCAACTGATGCTCAGAATGTGACACTTGTCCTGTTGTAAGAATATTATTTCATCTCTGTTTTTTTGCAATATCTGTGCTCCGAAGTATTTCATTTATCACTGGAGTATGCAAGGCTGGTAAATTAATGTTGACGGGTCATCCAAACAATAGCTAAAAGTTACCCATGTAGTCTGATAAAAGGTTTGCGCTACAATTTCTCAATAATTTGTTGAGCTTGTTTCCATACCTTTCCTTTAACTGCATCCATGTTAACTGCATGGATGTTGCCTTTTTGCGGGTTCTCATAAATCTCTCAAACTCACTATTGGTTTGTGGCCAACATTGGCTTGCAATGGTGAATACCAAGATGTGTCATATTTAATTTAATTCAATTTATTTCTAAAGCACATTTGAAAACATCACAAGTTGACCAAGGTGTTCAGATTACATACTGTAACATTTACGCAAAATTGTACGCTGTACGCTGCTGTTCGCTGCAGCCATATCACCCTGCAGCCCAAGACTGGTTAATCAGTAAAGCTAAGCAGGGCTGAGCCTGGTCAGTACTTGGATGGGAGACCACATGGAAAAACTAGGTTGCTGTTGGAAGTGGTGTAGTGAGGCCAGCAGGGGGCGCTCAATCTGCGGTCTATGTGGGTGCTAATGCCCCAGTAAAACTGAAGGGGACACTACATTGTCAGTAGGCTCAGTCTTTTGGATGAGATGTTAAATCGAGGTCTTGATTCTCCATGGTCATTAAAAATCCCATGGCACTTCTCGTAAAGAGTAGGGGTGTAACCCTGGTGTCCTGGCCAAAGTCCCTCAATCGGCCCTTACAATCATGGCCTCCCAATCATCCCCATCCACCGAATTGGCTCTATCACTGTCTCTCCATTCCCCCTATAGCTGGTGTGTGGTGAGCACACTGGCGCCATTGTCCTGTGGCTGCAGTCACATCATCCAAGTGGATGCTGCACACTGGTGGTGGTGTGGAGACCCCCCCCCCCATGATTGTGAAGCGCTTTGGGTGTATGGCTATCAACAACAGATGCGCTTTATAAATACACATTACATTACATTAAATTACAATTACAATGCATATAATGCAAAACATAAATTAGCAAACTACACCATAATACCTACTAAGGGCAGTTACATGCTACTGAAAACAGATGCATTTTCATCAATGATTTAAACACTCTAAAGAGTCACAGGATCTAATGTTAATAAAGAGGAAGGGTATTCCAGAGTCGAGGAGCTACCACTGAGATGGCGCTGTCACCTTAAGTCTTTAACCTTGAAAACCATGAAGTCCTTCAAAACCAGGACATTTTATTGGGCTCTATATAAAATGGGCAACCAGTGCAGAGAAGCCAGCACAGGGGCATACACTAGTGCACTTCCGTGTGCCAGCAAGGAGTCTGGCTGCCGCATTTTGCACTAGCTGCAGCTGTGCAGTAAGCTTTTTCTCCAAACCAAGGCACAAGAAGTTACAACAGTCCAGTCTGGAAGAAATAAATACATTAATAAGTTTATATATCGTTGAAGCTTAAAATGTTTTTCAACTTAGCCACTCAGCTAAAAAAAAAAAAAAAACAGGTTTGACATTCACATTAGTTTGCCTTTAGAGTTTGAGCTCATACACTGCAAAAATGATTTTCTTACTCAAGTTTTGTGTCTTGTTTCTAGTCCAAACATCTAAAAGCTTTTAAATCAAGAAGCATTTTCTAGGTAGGCAAAACATAATGTATTGTTTTGAGAAATAGTATGCCAAAATGAAGTGAGTTTTTCCTTGAAACAAGCAAAATAATCTGCCAATTGGGTAAGCAAATTAATGTTTTTTTTTTGTTAGTTTTTTTACATTACATTATTTTGCTTAC